TTGCCCCTGTGCAGGGTCCTCACCAGCAGATCTCGGTGCTCACGGACCCCTACCGTCAACTTAGGTTCATCACTGTGCCAGTCAGCTGGTGGCCAGTCAATAGGTCTTCTAGTGCCAGCTCAGCTGCTGGATGATGTTCCTGTATCATATACGAAGTACTCAATATGCCAAGTATCAAGCATAACGTTCCATCTAGTCATTTTGTCCTATGAAGTAGTTACAATTTTACATACCAAAAATTGAGAAGACCTAAATGCATTCGCTAGGGACACCAAGCATATACTTGGCAGCTAATTTTGCTGGGAGGACTCAGGAGTCTTGCTTGGATGTAAAAGGGAAGTTTAGGGGAATGAACACATTCTTTGGTTCACTTTCCTCTTCTGAGGGACATCCTATCTGAACAAATGCCCAGGGTGAGACGCTAAACCACGTCTCGGTGGCTCCGGTGCCTGAGCTGTATTCCCTAAGCTCTGCTTCCTTCCAACCCTGGGTGCTGCATCCATTTAAAGAACTGGTTCCCTCTGTGTCAGGGCTGCCTTCAGTCTTGTTGGCGTGTTGGTCGCTGTGCCCCCTCCTCGACATGGTCATTGAAGGGAGAGGGTCTGCTGCCATTGCTGCTACCTGATGGAACTGGGTCTCTTGAATCCAACTGATGTCAAGGGTCAATGTCATGACCCTAGTTAGTGTTCTAACTCCGATCCATTTGCCTTTTGCCTTTTCTTGGAAAATGGTAAGAACCTCAACAAGGTTGCCCTAATTTTCCCTCTCATATGGAGACTCTGAGGGCTATTGTCTATCAATTCCATCCATGTGTCCCATGGGGAGAGGGACGGCAGAACCTCAGCATCACTGCCTCTTCTTCGATGGCAGATATACCAGAAACTCACAACAAACTCACTGCCATCGAGTCGATGATGAATTAGAGCAATCCTACTACAGGTCTGCAAGAACTGGCCCCGTGAGTTTCTGATAACCTGCTTTTTTCCACAGGGGTGACCTAGAAAAGCACTGTAATGGTTTGTGGAGACGGACTGAAAAATAAACCAAACTGTGGGAGTAGAAAGCCAAATCTTTCTCCCAAGGAGTTGGTTTCGAACTGCCAACCATGTGGATGGCAGCCTAACATGAAACCACTACACCACCAGGGAGGGAACTCTAATCCAAGATTACCAGCCTTTTGATGGGGCCGTAGCATGCTGACTCCTTCAATGGCACTTGGCTTTGCCCATGCTTCCTTTCAGAACTTTTTTGGAATTTTTAGTACACATGAATCAACAATGATGAATACCTCACACTTCCCCTTCAACTTGAACAAAGAACCAGAGAACTTGGTGCCATGCAGGGCTGCTCCGAGGAGATTGAGCAAGAAAGCTAGACGTAATCTTTTGTTCAAACTTCATTGGATTCATTTTAAGATATCGCCAGGCAATTCAGCTACATGCGAATAGTCCACTATCAGAAATACTGACAAAATCAAGTGCTTCGTTTCTATGTTAAGACACATTCATTGTCAGCAAAGACAGACACTTGCCTCAACCTCACTGACTCTGGGAGTAGACGTTTCAAGGCTCCCCTATCCACACTTGGTGGGTGCAGATGGTCAATAGAGCATGTCTTCTGCTGGAAACGCTGGAGGTCCCAGTCTCCAGAGGCCCTTCAGGAAGAAGTGGAGACCAACGCCGGAAACATTAGCCACTGAGCACAGCCGCACTGACACAGGAGTCACCATGAGCCCCGTGATCTGAAGGCAGCTGGCGGTGATGTGTTCCCAAGGCATGCTAACACTGCAGAGAACTGGTTTCAGGGATGGCTAAAGCCCTTTTGGAGTTCTCTTCCTGTTTCTCCTCTGCCTCTCTCTGCAATGCTAGCTCCATTCTGTCTGATCACAGATGAACAAACAGGGGGGCCTGAGAGGAAAAGATGATGGGCATGGGCCGGAGAAGCCCAGACTCACATCCTCACCTCTTCATGACAAACGGGGACAACTTGCCCAGCATCTCCCCCTTGGCAACATACTGGTGAACGATTCTGCTTTTGACTCTGTGACTATCCCTCTCACTGGAGATGGGTTTTGATACAACAGGAAGGTGGATAGAATAGCAAACACAGCCATTACAATTTTACATAATTGATAGGTATCTTGTAAAATATATATTTATTGTATTTAATTCTCATGATCAGTCCAGATACTTCTATGTTATGAAAGGCGATTCCACAAATAGAATTCCCAGTTCATAAAACTGTGACTATGGGAAGTGAGATTTTCATTTATTACTCATCTTTTTCCCTTCATCCTACTGATCAACACGATAATTTCCTATTTGTTGGATGACAGTTTGATTCTTATCTGCTTGCCCAGTCAGGTTGCAAACTCCATGAAGGCAGGGCCCAAGGGCATTTTTACTTCCCAGGGTACTGTGAGCCCCTGGAACATGCAGGGCACAGAGCTGGCATCCAACATGACCTATAAATAATTGAGGGAGGGCTCAACTGAACCTTGAGGCAAGATTCAGTTTAAGTCAAAACTAGACAATGCTGGTGAAGCTGGTTAAGGATTGTACCTCAAGAAGCACACATTTTTCTTTTTAAAGAAAACGAGATGAATCCTTAGAAGAAAATAGCTGTACTAGCCTCACTGTTCACAGCCTTACACAGGGAAATACACAAAGCGCAGACAGGATGAGCATGGATGAGCGAAACGGCACATTCTTAGGAGGGTCACACAAATATAAGGTTCAGCCAGGAGAGACTTGAGGATCCCCGAGGATGGTCACCCTGATCCTTCTCAGGGGTCATCTTTCAGCTCAACAACCGATTGGTGCATAAAGTAAACAAGACCACCCATTAGTACTGTCCTCCTTTCAGGGGCCACCTGTCTGGTAGCTTTGAGAAGCTTCTAGAATAATGAAGTGTGGGATCATGGAAAAAGTTCTCCATGAACTTTTTGAAATCTCCTGTCAGTGTTTACCTTAAAACAAAGATTAAGAAGGTAAGGAGTGGGGACAGGGAAGCGAGATTCATGGAAACAAAACAGCCGGAATATAAATGAGAACAATGATCCAGTGTGAAAATGTAGCTAATGTCACTGAACAATGTGGATAGAACTAGGGAAATGGGAATCAAATTTGCTGTGAAGCCTTTTACCAAAGTATCAGTATCTATCTCTCTCTCTCTCTCTCTCTCACACACACACACACACACACTTCAAAGTTCCAGCAAATTCTAAACATTTAAAAGTGTACAGGAAAGTAAAATGGCATTGCTTTTATTTGGAGACTAAAGTCAAGCTTAAGAAATTTACCATCTATCGCTATATTTCCATGGAGTTGATCTTTAAAATGGAAAGATGCTCCAACCGGACATCCAGGTGGTCTCTGATTTGACCTGCCTTCAAAGGAACACCGCGAGAGAAACCACACAATTAAAGGGCTGTGCTAAACATCACAGCCTTTCAGAGGCTCCCAACTGCACATGTTCTTGTCCTATGCATACTTTAATAACACACAGCTGTTTGAGTTTAGTTTCTGGTAATTAAACCTGGCTACCACCCGTGACCAGGACTTCCTGTGCCGGAAACCTGAGCCAGGTAACTGAGGAGAGCAACCAGCAGATTCGTAACCTATAGAGAGCCCCAGGTCTGGGCAGAAGGTGCCCAGAGGGATGAGTGGGGGCGGTGAGAGTAGAGGAAACAGGACCCGGAAGGGAGTTTGCCCAAGGTGAAGAAGAGCATTTCACCTGCGGAGAGACCGGCTGAGGAACACAGAGCATGCTCTGATGGAAACGTTTTATTTTCTTTGAAAATCTTTCAAGGCATGGAGGGGAACTCTGCGGAAGGCAGGACAGGGGATTAAAGCTGATGAGTACCCGCTAAGAATCAGTAACCTTCAGCAAGGTCAGAGAGGGGGCCTCCTTCAAAAATGGGGAGATGGCTCTTAAAGAGTCCCTCTGGTGACTCCTGGGCAAGGGACTCCACACCCCTCTTCTGGGACTTGGAGTGGCAGTGTGGACACTGTCCACACTGTAGCATCAGAGACAAGGTTGGGGATGCTTCCCCCGAATTTCCCTTGCCCGAACATCAATTAAGTAAGCTGGCCAGAGGGGAGCTGGGAGGACTTGGAACCAGTGTTTACTGGTGTAGCCACTGTGGACACAGAAATCAGAGCAGCCCTAAAGGTGCTTGGTGTGGAGGTTTCACAGCAGGACTTAAGCCAGGGAACATGATGAGTCAAAGCTCTGGAATGAGGGACTTAGCCTGCGAGCTCTTCCCGGGCCAGGTGTGCGAGACTGGATTACTGCCAGGACTGTGGAGAACAGCCCATGAGGAACATGCGTTCCAGGGCAA